GGGTTGGACTAGATGACCTACAAGGTCCCTTCCAACTCTGTTAATCTGTATAATCTGTATAAGACAGTGGTGGGTTCCAACAGCTGCTACTGCCAGTTCGCTCAGGGACACGCCGCGCATGCATGATGCATGCAGTGCGCACATGCGCAGTACAACGAAAATTGCTCTGCACCTGCGCAGAAGCCAAAAACAAGACTAGAATTAGTGGAAAATTAATAATTCAAATCCTAACCAAGGACTTAAAAGTTATTAAGAGTACATTTAGTTATTAAACTTTAAATCAAATATTAAATTAAAAGTCATTAAGAGCAGTTACAAGCAAGATAGCTCCTTTTAAAATTAGGTTATTTAGGTCTGATAAATGCAATATTTCTAGGTATCAAGGAAGTTCTTTAGGTATTGCTTCAGAGGGCTCCATTATTATTATTATTATTCTCACTCATCTTGAAGAATACAGGTAGTCATCGACTTACAACAGTTCATTTAGTGACCAAAGTTACAATGGCACTGAAAATAGTGACACATATGACCGTTTTTAACACAGTTGCAGCATCCCCATGTCACATAATCAAAATCCAGATGCTTGGGAAATGACTCACATTTATGCCAGTTACACAGTCTTGGGGTCACATGATCCACTTTTGATAAGTAAAGTCTGACAAGTAAAGTCAGATTCACTTAACAACCATGTTACTAACTTAGCAACTGCAGTGATTCACTTAGCAACAGTGGCCAGAAAGATGCATATTGCATTGTCCACGTACTTTATATATCATACTGTATAGAAAGGACAATACAATATATGAGATAAAATATTAATTTAAGGTAAACCTATGATAAAATCTTCTTAATATGGTGCCATAGAATCACTGTAGGACACATTCTAATTAGTATAATGACTGTTTGTATACACAAACTTTACTTTTATTACATAAATTACTATTGTTGACTTCAAACTATGAGATGCTACATCCCCATCTTTAACAGAATTTGTACTGTGATACAAGAAGAATGGTGGCTTAGCAACCAGACAAGCCATCCCAAGCACTGAAAGGAGATCTCAATTTTTTATGGGTTTCAAATGCCTGTCCTTTTATGGGCCAATGGACGACATCAGAGATCAGCTACTAACTTCTCTCTCTGGACTGGGACCCAGGAAGCAGTGATGCTTTTGATTCTGGGAAGTGACAATCAAGGACGTTCAACAACTTTTGCCACCCAACCCTGTGGCAGCCCTTGCTATGTTTTCACTTCATCAGTTTATTCTTTAAAATTCCTCTCAACCTATTAATTCCTCAATTCCTCTGCTTTTGCAATTCAACAGTTCTCTATTCTTTCTTTCTAATGGCATCCATCCATTGTTGACTCTCTGTCCCTTTGTCAGGTATACTTTTAAAGTACTTTTAAAGACCCCATTCAAGATATGTTAATTCCTCTTTTGACAGACCCAACTTCTCATTTTCATAAAACTAAGTGGGCATAATGGCACTCTTATACACAGTCAATTCTGCGGATGTTTTGCACCAATATTGCCCATCAAGAACATTTGCATTTCTCCATCCACCCCCCAACCCCCCCAAAGTCCATCTTGACCCTTAACAACTAACATGGATAAGCAAATTTTTATTGGCAAAATCTTTTGGCAAGGTTTTCAGAAGTGATCTTTCTAGGATTTTCTTTCCAATATTAAGAGAAAGTAATTGGTCCAAAGTAGTTTATTCTGCTTTTAGTTTAGTAAACCAAAAAAGCTTTGTGCAATGAGTAACTATTCAATTATCAGAAACCTTTAGGATCTACTATAAATCACCCAGGAGTGTATCAAGGAGCCAGAGTCCTGTTACTCAGGACTCTAATTCAGAAAGCAAGGAACAAAGAGAGATCAGGTGCCTTCACAATCAAGCCATATGTGGCAAATTTAAGTTTTTCAGGCTTTGCAGTTCTGGAGATTTTGTGATGAGTGAATGGTATTTGGCATAGATAGATAGATAGATAGATAGATAGATAGATAGATAGATAGATAGATAGATAGATAGATAGATAGATAGA